TTCAGAGACTCCCAAAGGGCTATGGAAAGATATGAAGGGGTTTGTCATCTTGGATGAGAAGAAAAGTTGTATCTTTATGCTCCAAATCCCAACCGAAAGTTAGCAGTCCTTTCCATGGTGATCGCAGACAACAAACTGCTTGTAGCATTCATTAGCAGTGCCTGTAACTTTGTCACCCATCCAGATCAGGTATTTTTATGTCACATTACACTTGCTGTAGACATCTTGAAGTATTGCTTGTGCTCATCACTATTTTCAAAGTATAGTAATTATTTAGATCACTGTTAAATCTTTTATTTAATACATTAATAAAAAGGGATGTATATTACTATATAACAATTTTTAAAATCTTGATTTTAATTTAAATATAATTGGTTTCCCTTATAATCCTGTGTCTCTGTATGTATTTAAACCATTATTTCAAGAAGGGGTCCACAGACCTCAGACTGCTGAATGGGCCGATCGCACAAGGTGAAGAACCCTACTCTAGACCCTGTCTACAGATTCCCTCCATTCTCACCCCACCTCACAGCCAGTCCTCAGTAAGAAGAAATGTACAGCAGTTCTCAGGGCAAATGCTCACCCCATGGTTTCCCTGTCAGGAATTCTCTACTGGTCCTCAATCCTTCCCCACCACTGGCCTTCTGCCCTTCTGAGTCATCCTATGGTTCCACCATTTATTTAACTGCTCAAACTAAGGTGAGGCTAGAGAGGCTTAGTGCCAACATTTAAGGAGGCACTCACTCTCAAGGCCAAGTGCAGAATTGCACTTGCATGGCCCTGACAGTGAGTGCCCCTGAAATTATGTGTCCTAAGCGCCTCTTGCCTCACCCCATTACAGGTCCTGGTATAACCAAATATGTGCTCACCAGAGTTTAAGCACAGCTCTTGAAAATGCTCCACTGGACTTTCATCAGAAATCACTCTCAACTCTGGCTCCACATAAGAATCACCTGGGAAGCTCTTAAAAATCCTGATGCTCAGGCTATACTCCAGACTAAATGAGATTTTCAGAGAGGGGGGTGGTAGGCACCTGTATTTTTTATTTTGCATGTAAAGCTCTCCAGGTGATTCTCAAGTACAGATGAGTCAGGGAACCAGGGCCTGAAAAAGATGACTTTACTGTAAGTGTCCCTCAGGAGTTCCAGGTGAATCTCAGTTCCAACTGTTTGAGCTTAAAGATGGACAAATGATTAAATCTCACTCCCTATGCATGCACGTTCACCTCTTCATTCATCCAGTCATTCAAAACTTGCCCTGAATGCCTACAATATCCGACAGCACAGGCATTACCAGATCCTCCTCCCTTCTCCTTAGAGAAGCTTGTAGACCACTGAGGGAGACAGACAAACATCAGTGAAACCTGTAAAGGAGTATTTACAAACTGACGAAAGTGCTAAAAGGAGCAGGTGCTGAAAGAGAATAAAGTAGGGAAGAGATTGTCACACAGAAGCACTATCTAATAGGCCCATCTAAGGATTACCTAACTCCTTAGAGGTATGTACTATTTTGACTTACTATTTACTCTTTATTGGGCATTTTACAATGCTGAAAGGGTAGATATTAACTTGCAGAAAATGGTTAACAACTAATTCTTGCCTAATAGCAATGCAAACTAATTCCATCTTAGAAAACAGTACAGTAAGTTACAGTTTTACTGCTCTACAGGGCATTCATCAATTTTATATGTAATTTAGCAATCTGATTCCAGCAGTCTTTCTTTCCATTGACCATAAATACTCCTGACTCTCCTATACTTTCTTATACCAGCTTTACTATTTGCTGGTTCCTTTGTTAATAAATTAATTTGACAGGATCTATTTTAGACAGGATGGTGGGGACAGTCTATGAATCCTGAACGATGAGGAGGAGCAACCAGCTGTGGGGAGGAGGAAAAACAGACCACTAGGAACCCAAGACCTTGAGACAATGTGGTCTTTCCTGCAGCAGGAAAGAGATGGCCCAGAAACAGCCAGACGGTCAGTGAGGCTGGGGGACAGATTATGAGGAAGGGTGGGAGGTGTGAAGAGAGGATGGAGAAGTCGGCAGAGACTAGTTTATGCAGGCCCTACAGATCAGTGTAGGGGCTTTAACTTTGGAAATACACATGACAAGTAAATTGCTGGAGGGTTTTTAGGAGGAGGATAAATGATCCGATAGGATATTCTAAAAAGACCACACTAGCTGCTGTGCGGGGGAAAAAAGACAAGAGTAGAGAAGAGAGTTGGCCAAGAAAACAATGACAAAACCATTGTGGTATCCAGGTGAGTGGCTGAAGGGGGCCTGGTGTAGCAGGGGCAGGGAGCAGAAATGGAGGGAGCAGACAAGGAGACTGAAGCTACATTGCCAGGACTTTTGAAGGATTATATGAGGGAGTGAGGGAAAAGGGGGAATATCAAGAATGACTTCCAGGTTCCCAGCTTGAGCAACTGTAGAAAGTGGTGGCATTTACCAAAATGGAAAAGGCCAGGGGGTTAGAAATTAACACAGACATACACACAAGCACATGCCATTCATGATGTAAGGGTGGACTCACAACTCCCAGGCTGTGATGGGGCTACCACAGCCTTTCAGGTTATGTTCTCACACAGTATTTGGCCTTTAAAGTTTATGTCATCAAGCATTAAGCTAATGGATTTCAAGCAACAAATTGGAAAATTCCAAGGAGCAGCTCAAAGTCTGGCCCAATCTTGCCCTCATTCTTACTCAACATACGCTGACTGCAAATAACTTTTACTTGATGAATCTGTAAAGGAAGGAAGAAAATTCAGAATTAACTCTGAGTATATGGAAAGCTTCAGAGGGAGAAAGTAGCATCAGGATTCATAAAATACAACTGAGAAAGCCTTATGTTTATGAAAAAATATTAATCCTTTACACAAGTGATAATTTAGACAATCCTTTCCCCCTCCTCCTAGAAATTAAGTCATAGATATGGGCACAAATCAGGTAAAGGACTTGAGTCTAACCTAAAATAAGCAACAAAAGTGTCAGAAGTTATTCTTATACACAACAAAGCAGCTCTAACTTTTCCAGAAAATAAAGTTGGAAGTTACTACAATAAAGCTTAATGGCCGTTTACAATGGAATGGAAACAATCAGTACCTACCACAAATCCAAATTCAATGTGATGTAACTTTAATCACAGAAAGTGACTTACAGCAGTGACTGCTGTCTTGCAGAAATAAACCCCAAACCTGTCACTGAAAGAAAGCTCCATCAAGTCACGTATCTGAGGAACCAAATTATGTAATACCAGGGGGTGCCTTTGGGGCCAGATTTTTACCTCATTTGGAAAATATTCCATGATTACAGATTATAAGTCACCACCTTAATAAACAGAAGAATAATCAAAAAGAGACTACTTTGCAGGGCAATGCAGAGCATGGGAAATGGAAGCTGAGCTTCTGGACCCAACTCTACTAATCTTGCATCCTTAGGCAAGTTACTCAACTCCCCTAAAATTCAAATTCCACATCTGTAAAAGAGGGATAACAACAGTAGCACAGAAGAGACGTCCAGTCCATAACCAGTTCTCCGCTCCTTGCAGGCGCACATGAGAGAATTACATCTCCCCCAGTCGGCTCTGCCATTCAGTGGATCCATGTGACAAGTTCTGGCCAGTGCACTGTGAGCAGCAGTAATGTGAGTCACATCCAGGCCAAAGCATTTAACTGCTGGGGTGAGAAACTATTTCTCTGTTATGACAATTATGGGAACAGGTGCTATGTTGGAGGGGCCATAAGATAAAGCAGCCAGGATCATAGAGCCAACACTTGGAGGACAGATGCCCTAGAGGGTCACCCTGACCTACTACAAAGCAGGAAGCAAACCACTGTTTGGTTAAGGCACTGAGATTTCCATGGCATTTGGTTTCACAGCTAATCCTAGGGAATGCAAACTTAACACAAATAATTAATTTAGTAGGATGCTGTGAAGACTAAATAAGATGGTGCCTGGCACACACTAAGCCTTTAATAATGATTAGCAGGATGATAGCAGCCCCCAATGGTTAGTGCAAAAGGGCTTTCTTTCCCCTAGACAAGCTAACCAGAATCTTCTCAGGTATTTGGAATTGTCTTACAAGGTTACCATAGACTAACCATAAATCCTGAACCCTCTTCAAGGTCTACCAGGGACTTCACAGGACAGGCATGAACAGTTGAATGGTTTTTACCTTAAAATGAGGGAAAGGAGAGGTTCTGCATAGCCATATGGACATGTGAAAGCAATCTGTTTCAGAGTGAATGAACAGAGAACCTCAGCACATCCCCTGAATAATCTCCTTCTCCATACAGATTTGTAAAGCCAACAATGAGGCAGTACAAATGATGCTAAGATGCTAAGCGTTTGGGGCTTTGCTTTTTGTTCAGTTGTGGAAAGTGTTCAAGTATACAGTGGGTTTGAGGGTAAGGATGGCAAGATATGGACATATTAAATCAAAACTTTAAGAAGATAAATTCATTCTACCACAATTGTGGAAGCCTCGAAGTACTCCATAATCATCTGAATAGAACTTCTAGAACTGCAGAGTTAAAGGATGATCATATCAGAAGTGACTGGCAGGGACAGGAGGGAGAGAAAAGCAGCAGTTCCACTCAAACTCTCTGAGTTACTTGTCCCCTTGTTCCTAACAGAGCCTTAAATGACATTACAGATTCCTCAAGTGGAAAATTAAACTGATTGTTATTATTTTGCCACAGGTTCTGAATTGCTGTCCCTATCTCTTCCTGCTAAAGAACAAAATATATTTTAACTTCGAGTCAGTTAAAAAAGGAACTAATCTCAGGTCACTCTCTAATTTGGTTCCCGTTTAATAAAGAGAAAAAGAAACTAAGATACCTGCTAAGTTTTCTTACCTTATTTCACAGAAGAGTTGGAAGAAGAAAACAAAAAATCCCATAAATGCTTATAGAACAGGGCTTAAGCCCACTAAAAATGGGTCTCATAAGCAAGAAATCTGTCATGAACAGTAAAATGTATAAATGGGAGATACTTACCACATTTAATACTCTCTATCCGCACAGGGAGGCCAGACTGCACTGCAGCAATTAATTTCAAGGCAACGTAAAACTGTGTTGGACCAAAATAACCAACCCGCTTTGCACCGCACAGTTCTGTGATCTGAAAACAGACAAGAAAGACGATGCTGAAAACCCCATTTCATAACAGGAAAATGAGACAAGAGATATTATGAAATCTCAAGGATTTCACAGTGTAGCTAACCAAAAAGTCCCTGGAGAACCTATGTGTACACACTGGTTGGTTTCCTTTTCCTCCAGTTTATAGGGAGGCTTTCAATTCAGATAATTAAATTCTACCTACTCAGGATGTTTCAGGACTGGGTGATTATTCCTCCTCTTTAAAGATAAAAATAAAGGTGACAAAGGATAGCTGTAACTCTTCTTACAAAAGAGAGTGAATTGTCCCAGGGGTGGATTCTAATGTACAAACTCTAGAAAGTCACTGAGGTGATAAGAGAAAAAAAGAGAACAGATTAGTCATTACCACTACATGTGGATTTTCCTAGTCAATCAAAACTAAAAGGGAATTAATTATTTTTAAAGGTCTCAGGCAACATCATTTCATAAGCATTAAAATTACATCTTGAGTGCTCATTTCAAGAAAGTACTATACACAAAAATATTTTCAAGATATTATAATCTTTTAGACCTCAAACTAACACATATCCTGTTGGTAGTTTAAAAGTAAATATTCATGACTTTTTAAAAGTTATTTCAAAGTAACAGAGACTCAAAAGTCCAAATAATAGTAAGTAGACTGAAGAACTAAAAAACACCCCCCACTTCCTATGCCCCAGAGGAAAACACATATTCTTCTAGAAATGTTCTATGCATATATATAGCACACACCTGTGTCTTTCCTGTTGTTTATTCAATAGTTGATACAAATAGAATGGCACATACTATTCTGCAACTTGTTTTTCATTTAGCATTGTCCCTGGAATATTTTTCTCTATCACAACAGTTCAAGTTACCTCATTCTCTTAACAACTACATAATATTCTGCTATACACTGTGGGGTTATTTTTTTAGTTGGTCCTTATAGATAGGCTTTTAGATTTCCAATAACTAAATATTAGAAGCACTTTCAGAACAAACTATAATAGCCACTAATTAATCTTAAGAAAATTTCCATAAAATTTCAACTGGGATGTCAACAAAAAATGGTGGAATAAGGGCCTCCCAAAACTCCTCCATCAAAGCAATGAGAAAACCAACTAAAATGGACAAAACTCTGGGAATGAAAGGCTTGGAGCAATCCAGGGAGCATTTATTCAAGAAAAACCACTCAGTCGCAGGAAGGACATCAAGCTTTGCACCCTTTTAACTGGCCTTACTCCCAGGCCACAACCCCAACTGTGAGCATGTTCACTGTGATCGCAGTTATCCCCAGCCTGCAGTCACAGGGACACAAGCAGCCTGGCAGCCATGGGAGGAGTCAGGACAGGGCTGGGCTTCTTGGATATGTAACTAGTGTTCATCAAACTGGGTAGTTTTCAACCATTGTTTCTTCAAATATTTTTCTGTCCCTTTCTCTCACTTCTCTTTTGCTACTTCTAGTATTTCCAGTAGCCTGTGGTCTACCTCCCCTAGCCCTAGACTAGGATCTAGGGATGGAGGGAGAGAGTCCTGACTTCTTGGCTGTACCCACTAGGAGCAGAGCTTCCACCATACAGAACTAGTGAGATAAGGGAGGAAAGCTGCTCATGGCTCAAATGCTGCAGACTCGTTGTTCTTACCAAGCCTTAGTAGATTTTCTTGAATATTTCTCCATTTGTTGTTATGTCCTCAGGTCAGTTTCCAATGACTTTAACTGATTATTTTTTATAATCACTGGAAAGAGGATCTATTCTGCTGAGTTTCTCACACTGCCATTTCAAAAGTCTCAACCCACCTCAGATTCATTCTTAAGTGGAGAAGCTGCAGGACATTATGGCAAAAGGAACAGCCCTTGGAGTAAATGACTTGGGTGTGAATCCTAACCCCAGCACTAATTAGCTGTTTGTATAACCTGAGGCAAATTCTTAACTCCCTGAGCCTGGGTATCCCCATAGTGTCAACAGGAATAATGGTCCTCACCTCCTGAGTGCTAGACCAGCAGGGCTGCCAGCAGTGGCCATTCAATTAACGCATCACTGTCTAGTTTACTGGTCTACTTCTCTTATTTTGTTCCCACTCCAGCTGCTTATTAGAATAACCTGAGGAACTCTTGAAAAACACAATACCTACGCCTCACACCCAAAGATTCTGCTCTATTTGGTCAGTGGTGTGGCCCAGGTATGGGTATTTTTGTAAAGCTCTGAGGGTAATTCTAAGGTGTAGCCAAGGTTGCGAATACCTGTCTGATCTCATTCTCTCTCCAGGCTTCAATTACCATCCAAATAATCACCAAAGCTCCCTTTCCAAATTAAACATCTCAGACATTCCATGCACTTTTCCAAAACCCTACAGGACACCTATACATGGATACCCTAAGCCATCTCAGACATACCATAAATCTCACTCATTTGCCCCTCCCCACATGTCCTTGAACCTGCTCATCCTGCAGCAGCCCTCACCTCAGTTGTTGACATCAAGCAACATCCCAAATCAGAAACACTATCTTCAACACTAACCATACCTACCTGGTTGATTCTCCCACAGAACCACCTCCCAAATGAAGGCTACTTCTCTTTTGCCAGTGCCTTAATCCTTCCTAGTATGTTTCTTGGCTATCATGACAAGCTTTAGTTCACATATTTAACTGTATAGGGACAGATTTCTTTTTTAACTTTTTTTTTAATTTCATTCCACTAGTTGCTGTTGTCCTCTCAACTACAAAGAGGGCAGGCACTAATCCTAAGAGAAGCAAAGAACACCTGAGACTGACTTTCAGGTAACAGTGTGTCACTTTTCCTCAAGCAAGCAAGTGGGCATCATATACTTACCAGAATTTGTTTCTAGAAGAAATGTTGCTCTCTGAAACGTAAACTTTTTTTCTACTAATTTATATATTTTATCAAAGTATAATATTCATATAGAAAAGCATAATATACATACACAAAGGGACACAATCATAAGTGTAGAGTGTATAGTTAGGTTGGTTTTCATAAATGGAATACAACTACATAACTAGCACACAGATCAAGAAATAAAACATTAGAAGCCTTCTAGAAGCCTGCTTTGTAGCTCCTTTCAATCACTACCCACATACCATTTTCTGAACATCTAAAACCACAGATTAGTCTTGCCTGTTTCTAAACTTACACAAATGGAATTACAGACTATGTATCTTCATGTCTGGCTTCTTTGTTCAATGTTTTTTGTGTCAATATACCACAAATTATTTATTCTTCTGCCACTGGACATTTGGATGATGTCCAGTTTGGGTCTACTGTGAATAGTGCTGCTATAATACCCTTGACAAACCTTGTTAACACATGTGGAATGGAATACACTGGAGTGAGATACACTTCTCTTTGGTTTACACCTAAGAGTAGAGTATCTGATTTACCAGATATATATACATTCAGCTTTGGTAGAGATGACCACATTGCCACCATCAGTGCTGGAGACTTCAGACTGCTCCACATCCTGGCCAACACGTGGTACCTTTTGGCTTTTTCATTTTCACCATTCTGACGGGAGTGCGGTAGTATCCCACTGTAGTTTTAGTTTGCATTTCCCTAAGAACTATGAAGTTTAGCACCTTTTCATATGATCATAGGTATTATGATTCTGAGACCAATTCCAACATATTGGGGGGGAGGGGGGGAGAAATTCCAAGAACTTCTCCAGACACCAACTGAGTGTCCTACAATTCAACTCAATTCTGACACTATCTGCCCAGACACAGCATTAGATTCCACAGGTTGAGGACTCAGTCCTAACAAGACTGCCCTCTCCACATCCCCACTTCAGATGCAACCTTTGCTTTTGACCAACCGGCTACAGGAAGTTTCAATAACCCTCCTCCTTGGGCTTCAGACACCAATTGTAAATCCAGGGTATTACCTGTACTTCTGACCAACTGATTATAAATCAGAGGCTCCCATGACCATCTCCTCAGGTTCAATTAGTTGATGAGAGCAACTCACAGAACTCAGAGAAACATTTTACTTACTGGATTACCAGTTTATTATTATAAAACGATGTCACTCAGGAACAGCCAGATAGAGCAAGGCATGGTGGAGAAAGCTGACAATACTGCTCTCATGCTTAACAATATCTCAGCCTAGATCCCCATCACCCTCAAGACAAAACCCAGCCTCTTTAGTATGGCATTAAAAGTCCCTTCACAACCTGACCCTGAAAAACTTTTCTAGTTGTAATTTCTTAACAGATACACACACATGCAAGCACACACCTAATTCCATAGCTGCAATCAGCTTCTCCCACTTTCCCAAATACATCTTGCCCTTTTACATCCTGTATCTGGTGCACACAGTGCAGAACATAGGACACTAAATAGCCTTCAAGTCAAGGTTGGTTTTTAATGAAGAAACTAATTTATTTTATGACTTTGAGCAAATTAATCTCACTTGCCTGAAACCTAGTATCCTCATACGTAAAACAGAGATACTGCCTCCCTCACAGGACTACTGTGAGGAAAAAAATTAAGTAACATACTAAATGAACTTAATGCAATGCTTAGCAATGTTCAAAAATTGTTGGGTTCCATTCCATTTCCCGGGAAGTAGAACAGCCTCCCTCCCCACTACATTTAACTCAAATGTTATTTCTCTGTAGCTCCTTCCCAAGTCTGCAGGCATATTTTCCCAGTGTATTCTAGGACTACTCAAATGTCTATAAGTGTCCATCACATGATATGTCTTGGATTGGATTCCAAATAAAATGGGGAGGAGAGTAAGTGGGAACATGGGTGAAAGCAGCATGACCAAGAGTTGAGAATTACTGAAGCTGGGTGATGGGCCCATGAGGGGTCATCATCCTACTCTATACTGATGTATACATTTGAAATTCTCCATATTCAAGCTTTTTAATGTCTTTTTCAGCACTTAACACATTAAAATTATCTATTCACCTCTGCCTCAATTAAAGTGTCTTCTCTCCAAGGGCAAGGGTAACTTCATTTTATCTCCTAGCATAAGGATAGGCAAC